TAAGCACTGCCTGCAGTTTGGTTCCCTAGAAGCAGACTCTGGGATGTGGAGTTGTATGAGAGTGACGTATTAGAAACCTTTTCAGGAGACACTATAGGGAAGTGGGGAAATAAGACTGAGGATGCAGGAAGGTGATAAAAGATGTGGTGTCGAGCAGATTGCCATGGAGATCATTGTGGCCTCATTCCCAGGGAAACTGGAGATAGCACGGGTCACACTTCAGTGTTGGTGAGAGTTCTTGAGGGTTTATATCTCTGAACCCATCAGTCCTTGGTTACAGGGTACTGAGATGGGGGGTGAACAGTGTCATAAATGCCCAGATACTTCCTGTCCTCCTTGGGCCCAAGCAAAGCAGATCCTGGCAGCCAGGATGCAGTCTTTCTAAGAGATAGACAAAGATGCCTCTAGTGTATAGGCACTGCTTGTGATGGCTCATGGGGTTTGGGTGTTAAGTTTTTAGCTATTGTGCTAGCTAGTTAACCTCACATTGAGAGACTGAAATCAGCCACAAAGGGAGTAGTTACACTCTGGAAATTGACTAACATTATAAAATAGGGCTCTCTTCATCTCCATAGTGGTTGTTAAATATTTACTAGCATACCACTGCCAGTTTGGCTATCAGGGTTGAAAGCTCACTGGGAGTGGGTGTGCAGTAAAATGGCAAAGGGATCCATGGAATGCAGATGGAGCAGTGACTATATCTGCTGCAGTGCTCACCTATACAAACTACAGACGCCTGCCCCAGCTTACCTGTGTGCAGGCTGAGGGGAGGGAGGGGTTGGTTCTTGGGGAGGATGGGGAGGGAGGTGGTTCTTAAGAGAAAGGAAACTGATGAGACGGACTACAACCAGCTGGGTCACAGGACAGAGTCTCTGAAGTGCAGGTAGCCTGGGTAGATGAAGTGCTAAACAGATAAAACCCAGGAAGAGCTGAGGTAACACCTAACTAAACTACTGAGCACTTACAGAGCCAGGCACTAAGCCAGTTATTATACTTTGGCTACTTTTCCTCGCAGCCCTAGGAAGTAAGTGATGTCATCATCATCATCTCTGTAATCACCATCATCATCACCTTTGTCAAGGTTTTTCTGTTTTATACACATGATGAAACAGGGGTGCCTGGGTGGCTCATTTGGTTAAACATCCAACTCCTGATTTTGGCTCAGGGCACAATCTCGTGGTTTGTGAGTTTGAGCCCCATGTGGGGCTCTGTGCTAATAGTGCAGAGCCTGCTTGGGATCCTCTCTCCCTTTATCTCTACCTCGTCCCCCTTTTTTTCTCTCTCTCTCTGTCAAAAAAATAATTAAACATAAAAAAAAAAAAAAACATGATGAAACAAGTTTAAAGCATTAACTTGTCCAGCACCATAGGGGAAGAGCTGAGCATTGAATTCACAGATTCTACAGGCAAAGCTTTTAATAATGAAGCCAGAATACTTCCCTGGTTTACTTCCTATGGGCTAAGCCAACATAATGGGGGTTAAGATGGTAAGGCGGTCATCAGGATGCCCAAGAATGCCCTAATCTTAGAAGGTCTGATTGTCAGAAAAGGAAATGTAGAGGGTGTACAGAAACCCAAATTAGTGGTTGGGTATCTCAGTGTGGAAAGGATGATACCCAGGTCCCATCAAGTGATGGAATCTGAATATACTCCTTTTGCTCGCAGACTCAGCTCAGGGCTGGGGCCTGAGACAGAGGATGCGGAGGCTGGAAAGGCGGAGGAAGCCTGGAGATGGACTCAGCCAACAGAAACATTTATGGTCAGGCTGTCTGAATTCTCCTGTGGCAGCAGAGAGAAATGTCCCTCTTACTCTTTGTGGTTTCCTTTGCCTTTAGAGCTGCTACTTTGTGAGAGTTCTTTCCTTTCTCTGGTTTGCCCATCTCTGGATTGATGTAGTGGTTAACAGCAAGGATGTGTGGAAGGGTCTGGAGGCTGCTACTCCAGCTTTATTCTGGCCATGCTCTACCTTTCTAGGGCCCCAGGGATCCCTTGGCGTAAATAGTCCTGCAGGGGGAGGTAATAGAAGGACTTGTCCCTATGACATAGAGGAGCTTTATCTGTAAATTTCCGTTTAACATTAACACATCACAGCTTTGTGTTTGGGGGTACTTTTATTTTGTGTTTTATCTCATAAAAGTCTAGAGCTGCCTTCATCAATCTCTGCTACATTTTGTGTTTTCTTCTATGTGTGTATATTTACACACCTGTTCATTTACCATTGTGAAGTAACTTCGCTGAAGGTAATTGAAAGTAAGATCTTTCTTATGTTGCCAATATAACCTTTTTATTCCTTTTTCAAACTTTATATATTATTTTTCTTTACACCTAACTAGTCACTTGATTGAATTTCCTTTTTAAAAAAAAATCCACTTTCCTTCCTCTAAATGAAGAATATAGGCTCTGGGACCATGCTGCTTGGGTTCGAGACTCAGATTTTCCATTTACAGCTATATGACATTAGTTCTGTTCCTTCATTTTGATATGTGTTGGTTTGTTCCTCTGTCAACTGAGGATACTTACAGTATTTTTCTCATAGGTTATTGTGGGGAATAAGCAGGACTCCATGCACAGAGCCCTTGGCACAGTGTAAGCACTATGTGTTATTCGTTCTCACTATGTATTCTTGAAGAGGTTTTAATCTTGATCTTCAGAAAAAGGATTCTCTTCTTTCTTTTGCCAAACGTTTATAGAGCAGTTACCAGGTGCTCAGCTCTGTGCTATACTTTTCCATATGGATTTTGTCTGATATAATTTAATTCTCAACACTACCCTGTGTTAAAGTTATCACTGTTCTCATCTTCTAGGGTTTGAGCCCTGGAAATGCCATGTACCAGCCGTGTCAGCCAGGATAGATGAAGTTCGCCAAATCACAAACGAGGCACATATCCCAGGGTCCACACACGACACAGGGTTATTTGTCCCTCGTGAAAACCAAGTCAGGCAAGGATTCTCCATGAGGTGGCTACGGAAGCAAGGCTGCCTGGTCTTAGGGCCCCTCCTTTACCAAATGTGCTCCTCTGATTGCAGCCAGGGAAGGGGCATTGGAGAGTCTTGGCAATGAAATGCTTCGACTTAGAACTGAACCAGGTCACTTCTGCCTGTAGCCCTTGAGCAAGAATGAGTCAGAGACCCTGCCAAATGGCCCTAGGACCCTGCCTAATCCCCCCACAGGCCTGGAAGGAGAGCAGGACAGGGTATAGTGACCAGTAGGAGTCTCCACCACCCACTTGTGACTTTGAGTACATTGCTTAACCTTCCTAAACTTCAGTCTCCTTATTTGTAAAATGGTGACAATCGCACCTACTGCAAAAAGATGTGATGAAAAGTGAATGAGACAAATTCATGTGCAACTCTTAGGATGGTACCTGGCACACAGGAAATGGCCATTTCATGGTCACTATCAGGATTACCCACATCTATAAGAGAATCAGCAAAGCCTCATAGTTCAGCAATTGTGGTAGCCATGGCTTTGGACTCCACCGTGTGTAAGTTGCTTTTCCAGTTCCGTTGTCTACCAGCTCTACGAGCCCGGGGAACGATTTTTGCTTTCTCTGAACTTTACTTTCTTATCTATAAAATGGGAGTGGAACCACATACACCCATAGACTATATCAAAGGTTAGAATGATAACAGTTGTTGATTGCAATGTAAGATAAATATTTAAAGTCTGTTGACTAACTTAATCTTTAAGGCAATGTTATGAGATAGTTCTCTATTAACCTCATCTTACAGCTGGAGAAACTGAGCCACAGAAAGGTTAAGTAAGAAATTTGAGGCTCTTTGGTAAGTAAATAGTGGAGCAAGGATGAAAACTCAGGCAGTTTGGCCCCTCGGCCAATGACCTTAACTCCTATGCCTCACAGCTTCCCTGAGACCCCCTGCAGAGAGATCCCAGCACAGAGACAGACACAGTTGATTTTTGTATCGTTAGTACCTTTCTTCTTTGCTTGAGTGCACATTGGGACAAATAACCCTTAAGTCTATCCCTAGACTAGAGTCTGTTTGGGACACATTCTGATGGTTTTTTTTTTCTATGAATGGATGGAGGTATGAAGGAAGAAATAGCAAATGGCACTATTTATGCCATATGTGTTTGCAAAAATACCAAAATCTGCATATGCAGAAATGCCCAGCACAGAGTTGGTGCTCAATTGGCCAGAGCCCTTTATTATTTTTAACAAGCAGCCATGATTAGTTGGAGTCTCTGAATCTGTAAACATTACTTAGTAAATGGGGACACACAAAGGGACCAGCTGGACATAGTGGCAAATTTAATAATACGCAAACAACCTGCAAATACGAAGCTCCTTTTCAAATAAGAATCTATTTGATTTGGAGAACATAGGCTTTAACTGAATGAGAAGGTTAAATCCATGTTCTATCTGTGTTCTGTTTTCATTGTGCTTAGGGGGTTGAGTATGGAGTTGGTTTTCTTTCCAAACCAAACACCTGGTACTTAATGATATAATCAAACACCAGAGGGGAGCTGCCTTGGGAAAGCAGAGCTGGTTTGAGGTGACCTTGCTCCTCCCTTCCTCTGACAGAGAAGAGGTGGCAGATTCCACATCTAGCTGCAGTAAAGACAGAGACCTAAGTGTCCTGGCACTTTGCACAGGACCAAAGCTGTTGTATGCTGGGTACTATGCTATTCAGAGACCACTGGTTTACCTTTTCCCAGGAAACTGATGATTCCAAGATTCCTTTTTTTTTTTTTTTCTTTGATGCCAAGATTCTTATCCCCACTTTACAGATGAGGAAACTGAGGATCAAGGAATTCAGGTCAGATAGGCCAATCAAAAGGATGCAAAGTGAAGATGGAAAGATGGCTCCAGGGCTTTAGTATTATTTATATTAACATGTTCTTTGTAAATGGCATGTTCTAGAGTGTGTAATTCGGGGATGGGGGGGGTTGTATTTGGGCATGAGCTGAAACCCTAGTCCATAATAAACCATACAGTTATCTACTGCTGCATAACAAACTCACATTTATTAGTGCACAGTTTCTGTGGGTCAGAAATGTGGGTGTTGCTTAGCAGGTCCTCTGGCTCCAGTCAAGGCTTCAGTGAAGGTGTGGGCTGGGGCTGAAGTCCTCTCAAGCCTGGATTGGGGATGGGTTCACTGCCAAGCTCACTCAGGGATTATTGGCGGGATTCCATCCTTGCAGGCTATTGGGCTGAGGGCCTTAGTCCATGCTGGCTGTTGGCCAAAGAAAGTCCAGTTCCTTGCCATATGGACTTCTCCATAGGGTGGCTCACAACATGGCAGCAATTTCTTCTGAGCAAACAAGCGAGAAGAATTAGAGAGCCAAAATGCCAACAAAACAGAAGTCAGTCTTTGGTAACTTCATCATGGAAGGGATATCCTGCCACTTTTGCCATGTTATTCAGTAGAAACAAATTAGTGGGTTCTCCCCACACTCAAGAGGGGAAATTACCCAAGGGCATGCAGGCAGAGAGGCAGAGACCATTGAGGGCCAGACACCACCTACCACAATATCCATGATTACTTTAATGCAAAGTAATGCTTCAAATTACTTACATTTAACAGAATTGTACCCCCAGAATATCTTGCTTGTCTTGAGGAGTGATGCATCCCCTTGTATCTGTCTACATACCCTTGATAGGATACGGACATTTCAGTCTGGAACACTCAGGATAGAAATCAGGTTTTGCTGGTCTACAAATATTAAGACACTTTCAATAACTTTACATTCACCTGTTTGATCCATGATGCTAAAGCCAGCCTTACTGCCAAGTTTTGGGTGGTGAGTACATTCCCATGTTGCTGCTCTGTCTTTTCTACACAAATAAGTATTGACCTTTGAAATAGTCTCCCTGGAATGGAAGGTGTTTTATGCTCATTCATGATGCAAACTTTGCCCAAGACCTTGTTGCAGCTCCTTTTTGGGAATGGCCTTTGGAATCAATCTCTCTCTCTTTCTCTCTCTCTCTTTCCCTCCCTCCCTTTCTCCCTTTCTATCTCTCTCTTCCTTTCTCTCTCTCTCTCTCTCTCTCTCTCTCTCTCTCTCTCNCACACACACACACACACACACACACACACACGCACACACAATCTGCCTTTCTTTAAGATGTGATCCCCAGGACGTATTTATCAGATATGGTTGGCAGGGAAACATCCCCTTCTTTATTTATTATTTATCATTTCATGCATTTCCTTTTGAAAACTAGTAGATTTTAACTCAGGCCTAGCCAGAGTCCTCATTATTTACAACAGCTTTATGCTTTATGCACACAAGGTAATAGGCACCTATATTCAATCATTTCCAGACATGGGACATGGCAAGACTACCACCTCCATTCCTTATTTCAATAGTGGATTTAAAATGCTTTGATTGTCTGAGTCTCAGGAACTGAAGTATCCTTGGTCTTGAATTCTATAATAGTTTTAAATACAAGTGCAGGTATGAGAAAAGATAAAAATCAGGAATCACTTCTGATGACTGCTGGGTACATTAAATCGGTCTCAGATAGAAAGATTGAGATCCCAGTGCACAAAGAAAGGTGCAGAACTTTGTAGCAGAGATGAAAAGGAACCTCGAAGTGTAAAAGACAGGGGAGGCTGAGAATCGAAGACTGAGGCTTTAATAATCAGCTTATTAGGGATTATTTTTAATGTAATAAATACATATAAAGCACTTCCTGTGTGCTAGATTCCATTCTAAGCACTTGACCCAATATAATCTCTAGTAGACGGGTGTAATTTTCTTCATTACAAACTGAGGAAACTGAGACACAGAGAAGTTGGGGACTTACCCAAGGTCCTACAGCTGGTTGGCAGCAATTTGGCTTCAGAAGCTATGGTCTCCACCACTGCACTGTGCTGCTTCCCAGAGCTATCCACCCAGTACAGAGCCGAGGTTGCTCCAGGAATTCCTGTACAGAGTCCAACAGTCCCTGTCAAATCAGGCTGCTGGCACAGCACGGTTTTTCCCTGTCATTCAGTAGGAAGAATTCTAGCTCCCTTGGGACAAAGGAATCTGAAACACACTGTGCAGGACAGAGTTTGGAGTGGACCTAGAAGCATGATCAGTGGCCCCAAAGGCCAGGGCAGGAGGCAACAGAAGACAAAGCAGAAAAGAACTAGAAATAAGGATTTAAGCCAATCTCATAATTGACCCATAATCTGCCAGCTCTTCTTTAGGAGTTTACCCAGGGCTCCCTCCCACAAGAGCCAAATTGTTGGTGGTTGTTTACACGAGGAATGCAGCACTTGCGAGTGTGTCTGCGTGTGGGCACATGTTTACCCTCGAATATCTTTTGTCTGGCAGATGGTGGCAAGATAGGACGACGGGGTGGGCAACTGCGGGGAAGGGAGAGTGGGAGGGTCGCGGTTCTCATCCCCTCTTGTCACACAGGCACCCCCGACAGCCTCCGGGAATTGATCAGTCCCACAAGGGGGCCAAACACATCTGTGCGTGTGCATCACGTTAATGGTGACTTTCCCCGACAGGTACACTTTAGGGGATGCAGTCTCTGCCCTTTTGTGCCAAGAGCACATTCATTTTGCTCACGCATTCAGGTACACAGGTGATTTACCTAAGCAAAACTAGCACAGCTGAAACTCTGACTTAAAACCAAGCAACAGTGTTTGCAATGGGTCTAATTACATAAGACCCTGCTCCTGTTCACTGGCAGGAACTGGGGAATGGTCAACACTATATATTTAAGAGGAAAACCACAGGTACGGACCCCAAGTGGTTACAACAGAATTGGTTGATTTGAAAGCTCCGTCTTCACTTCCCTGGAAAAAATTCAGGAAAGGACTTGGGGATTCAAGGAGGCGGGGGAATTGTCTCTCCTTGCCAGTACTCCCTTTGCTCTCTGAAAAAGGGTGTAGCCAGCAGGCTAGATACAACTGCAGAAGAGCAACGGATATAAATATTCAGTCATGACAGTCCCCAAGGGATAAGTGACAGCAGCCCATGCAACATGCCTTCTACACATTTTAAAATGACTCTGCTCCTCCAGACCCAAGCTGACATATTAGTAAATTGATTCCAGGTGATGCTGACATTTTGTAATTATCACTATCTATAATTTTCATCTTATTTCATTGAGTATTTTGATCGTTTAAAATAGAGTAGACTACCTAATAGTGGTCATTAGTTCAGCCCAAGGGAAAATTCATGGTTTAATAAACTCACATTAGAAAAAACTTACTAAAATTACAATTGGCATTAGTCTCCCCCTTTTTTTAATTAAAAAAACAGACTAATTTTATCCAAACTGACAGCTTTTCTCTTTCAAATGGGTTCATTGTTCTATTGTTATCTTGAAGGAAGGAAAGACGTCTGTAGCACAGTAGTAATAATAAAAAACAGTAATGCAACACACAGGAACAAGGGTTATGTTTCATTCTACATATGTCAGTAAATGAATACTACACCTTCTCTTATTTTCTGACTAACCATACACTGGAGTGAGGAAGGCAGTGTGGCTTTGAAGCAAGGTCACGTTTGGGGGAGTAATTCTCTTATCTTGCTTATCTGAAGGGACTGTTTTTCAAGGATTGCCCGGGAAGGCAGGCAGTTCCGGGCCCCACTCCCTTATTTCCCTCGGTGTCCATTTTTGTTTTAATTGCATCTTCTACAGCTTGCCTCAAGGTTCATTTTAGGTATCATTTCTGAAGAATAAAAGGGGCAATTTTAATATACAGGAAATTATTCTTAAAAGGTAACGAAGCAGATTTGACTCTTGCCAGAGCAATGCTGTTGGTTGCCACAGGAAAACATTTCACCTATTGGCAATAGCCTGAAACTCTAGCATTCTTCATATTCTTTCAGCTCCAGGAGAGGGGCCTGCCGACTCACTTGCTGGCAGTTCAGGTTTTGTGATTTTCTTCAAGGGATTAACAGTTGGAGATTATTTTACTGAAAGAAAGCTATGCTATTGATGTGGACATTGACCCCTTGATGGTTGAGGTCATTCCTTATCCATTCATCTAGCTACCCAGTCACTGTGTACTCATCCTCACTCATCAAGCATTCAATCAGCCTCTGTTCATCCATCCTTCCACCCACCGATTAATCTATGATCCGTCCATCTACCCACCCACCAATTAATCTATATCCATGCATCCACCCACTGATTAGTCTATCATCCATCCATCCACTCAAGCATGGACTCATCCAACCATCCATTTACTCACCCATGCACCCACCATCCCATCTGCACACCTGTTCATTTATCTGTCCCTATCCATCCAACCACCCATTTGCTCTCCTCTTTACCTATAAATCCATTTATACATTCATCCTTTCATACATGGCTCACTCATCTGCCTTCTCATCCATCAATATACTCTTATCATCAGTACAACTGGCCATTCTTTAAAAAAAAATCCTTTAGCAAACATTTAACAGACCTCTGGGCTTGGTAATAAAGAAGCACATAAGTCCCTCCTCTACCCTTAAGGAACTTACAGTCTTGTATAGGAGTCATAAACAAGCCAAAAATCACACAGCCGAATGCTGGGTGCCGTTGTAGAGAATGAAGCCATGTTGCTGTGGGAATTCTCAAGAAGGACTGGCTTACTATGTCAGAATGATTCAAAGAAGGTTGTACACATGTGAACCCTCGTGCTGCACATGGTAAATATGGGCATAATGTCCAGGGGTGGGCACCATGACAGCAGGGAATTCAGTGGATGAATGCCTAGCCCTTATGTTCTCTCCAAGAGTGACACTTTGCTGTTTAGAAGAAATATCTGTATTCTGGAGGCTCCTCTTCCAGAGGCAGAAGTTATGGGAGTATTTAAGGCATCAGACAGGTGCAAGGAACTGAAGTTGGGCCTCAGGGAGCAAGTCTAAAGAACTGGGATTCAGGATTGGTCTCTGGTCCTGAATGAAGGAAAGGGGAAAGGAATAAATAAGTGAATTTATAAATAAAAACAAATCAGAACAGATGAACAAAAGAACTACAGGTGGATAAGTACATCTTAGGGTATTTTATTCACTCAACACAGACACCTAACATAACCTTTCCTAATGACATCTTTAACCCAAATCAAACCAGTAACAACAAAAATAGCTCCAGCACTGATCACATGCTGGAAACTGGCCTTCTCTCTGCTTTGCTCCTACTGCTGGTGAGTCTGCAGGAGTCCTAACAGGCATGGGCAGCTTTTCAACTCTACAGGCCTGGCACTCAGCTCTGCACAGGGGCTTGGACGAGGCCTTTATGACTTTCCCAGAGGCCTCAGGTCTCTATTGAAACACAGCAGCTGTTACTAGGAGCAACCCCACTTCCCAAACAATAGCATAGACTTTGTGAAGCTTTCCCAGGTGCTGTGGGCCCAGCATTGCCAAAAAAATACCCGAGACCCACACAGTCTCCTTCCCCCGTGCAGCTTAAATAGATTGGAAGCAAATGCTTGTTGACAACAGGTGTGGCTCGATGTGAGAAAATGTTCCTTTCCATTATTGCAGGGCTGGCACCCAGGGACACTTCCTGTGGAAGAAACAGCCTTCCAAGAGCATGGGAGATCTGTACCCAGAGCCAGAAAGTGCTCAGTTCCTCCCTTTCAGGGACGAAGGCTCCCCAAGTCTGCAAGCAGGTGCTCCTAATAAGTACAGAGTTTTCCACAGCCTGAGGACAGCTAGGCAAGGAGAGACGCGCTCCCAGGCCCCAGAGTTCCAACCAGCTGACTGATTAGGCTCTCTGTGATGGTGGTTAGTGCTGGCATCATCATTAACTCAGCGAGATTAACTTGCTCAGCAGAGGCTTGCAAAGCTGCGTGAGCCTGTCTTCCGCTCAGCTTGAGTTAGCCATTGGGGCATGAGGGAACAGAGAGGTAACCTACAGGTGGTAGGGCTTCAGCCCTCAGATGACTTGACAGAAACCCCAAGGATATAGAGAAGAACTTTTTATTCATTTGGAAAAGTCTGTCCAGTGATTTTTTTCCTCTCCCTGAACTGTCTTAGGGCAAAAGTAAGTTCTGTGTTGAACTAAATGGAATGCTTGCTAGATGAGAGTCTAATTTCAGTGAGAAGACTTCCCGACTTTCTATTTCTTTAGGAAGCCCTCCCTTCATAACTGTGGGGGCTCACCTGCACCCAGAGCTTTAATTGGAATTACTAGGGCAGCATGTAAGAATAGGGAGAAATGTGAGAGGCAGTGGTGGCTCCCTTACAAAGAAACACTAGTAGTCAGATTATTCTCATAGCTATTGGAGATAGAGTCAGTGGAGGGAGAGAAATAAATGGAAATAAAGAGAAAATTTTTATTTTTATTTTTTGAGAGAGAGAGAGAGAGAGAGAGAGAGAAAACATGTGAGCAGGAGAGAGAGAGATGAGAGAGAGAGAGAGAGAGAGAGAGAGAATCCTATGCAGGCTTCATGTTCCATGCAGAGCCTGACACGGGGCTTGATCCTTTGACCCTGCAATCATGACCTGAGCCAAAATCAAGAGTAGGGTGCTTAACTGACTGAGCCACCCAGGCACCCTAAAAAAATTAAATACTATTTTTTTTACACAGTTTGCTACTTTGTCAGATTCCATTTTTTCCTTCTACCTCCAAAAATCTACTCACATGATTATGGAGGTATATGTATAGTGTGTGTTGGGGGCACCCTTTTTTTCAGTCATTTCCAAAGCCTGGAATCCTATGTATTAGCCTCCTAATGTATTACTGTGGGTGGGCTAAGTTGCAGTAACAAATTGACCTTGAAATGCCAGTGGCTTAATAGCACAGAAGTCTACTTCCTGCTCACACAACAATTCTGGACCAGCAGTTTCAGTTGGAGACTTCCTTCCTTGGAGTTATTTTGAAAGCGAGGCCAGTGGGTGGCTCTGCCATTTTCAACACATGGCCTTCAAAGTGACCCTAGACATCCACATCCAGTCAGCTAGAACACAGAAATATCACA